TGTGTGTGTGTGTGCGTGTGTGTGTGTGTGTGTGTGCGTGTGTGTGTGCGCGCGCGTGTGTGTGTGTGTGTGTGTGCGTGTGTGTGTGTACGTGATGTTCCATCACTTTTCGGAGCGCCCTCAATTGCAAAATCAGACTGATCTCATAAAATCTAAAGTCTGTCTGAGAACATCCATCAAAACTTAAGATGTACTATGTTTAAAATGCTTGATTACTAATACTTACCAGCTGATCATCCAGTCCAAAAAGTTGATCCAAGTAAGTTTCGGATAATCTCCGAATTTTTGGTTTCATTGATGGATCAATGCACATATCCCTGTAATAAAATCATAAAACACATTCAAAAATTAATTTCATTTCATAGTAGTTAGTTCCATAATTAAATCACTGGTTCTTTGGGTGAAGTGTAAGGGAGGGGAAGGAAGAGACATGTCCCCTTGGAAGAAGCACATCAGAATCACCAGGAGGGCTTTTTCAAACTAGCCCCCCTCAAGATTTTGCTGTGCTCCCAAAGAGGGCATGCCTCCCTTTCCTCATCTCCAACTTGAAATAAAGTGCCTATGAGCCCATAGTATAGTATTGGTGACAGTGCACAATATGAGCTCTGACAATTAAGTTCACAAACTCACGCTAGAAAAAGTGCTATATACCTCATTGCTGAATATCACTACAGTCACCTTCTAAATACTCCTCTTGGAAAGCTATGCACCGACGCCAGTGCCTAGTCCACCCTTCAAAGCAATTTTGGAACTCTTTTTCTGGAATGGACATCAGAGTTGTCATCATGTTGCCCTTGATGTCCTGAATGTCATCAAAATATCTTCCTTTCAATACTTCCTTTATCTTTGGGTAAAGAAAGAAGTCATTGGGGGCCAGATCAGGTGAGTAGGGAGGGTGTTCCAATACAGTTGTTTGTTTACTGGCTAAAAACTCCCTCACAGTGTCATGTGAGCTGGTGCATTGTCATGATGCAAGAGCCATGAATGGTTGGCAAAAAGTTCAGGTCGTCTAACTTTTTCACGCAGCCTCTTCAGCACTCCCAAATAGTAAATTTGGTTAACTGTTTGCCTAGTTGGTACAAATTCATAATGATTAATCCCTCTGATCTCAAGTAGGTTAGCAACATCATTGCAATAAGTTCATGAACTTAATTGTCAGACCTACTTTCATACATAATTCCTAAGTTGAAAACAAGTGGGAAAATTCTCCCATCAAAGTCTTTGGGGCTTAAACGTCTATGAAAGGATTCTTTAACAATCTTGAGACTGGACGCATTCACTGGCAAGAACTTTTTTAATACTATACAATGAGTGTTTTACCTTCAAAATATCTTCCTATCACAAATAAAAAAACCACTCACCATAGGAGGCTTTCGAGGCCATTTTTCATTATAGTAATGATCCTTTCCTCTAAATATCTCAGAGGGTCTGGAGGACATGTAACCAGTAGGCCACACAACAGAGCCTGGGGAAAGGAAATGGAATTAATATTTCCGGATCTGCATGTTCTCACTGAACAACAAATAGACCTCATCTCACACAATTACAAAGTCAAATAAGGTCACATTTCAAATAGACATACTTTATAGATACCCCTCTATATTTATTACTGAATAAATAATAATGTTTTGCTAAATTCAAACCAAAATGCAGTTTACCTTTACTTTTTTTTTTTAATCCATCATAAATGACACAATAAAGAGTCAGTAGGGCCAGTCGAGTGGCACGTTGGTTAAGAGTTGGCTTGGGAGCACGAGCTCTGAGCAGCAGGGCCACCGGTTTGGATCCTGCATGGGCCAGTGATGCTGTGCCCTCTACAGCTAAGATGGTGAACAACAGCTCAACCTGGAGCTGGGCTGCCGTGAGTCGCCAGTGACGGCCTAGGCTGCAGTGGGGCTACAGTGGGCTGCTGTAAGCTACCATGAGTGGCCCAGAGCCAGGGTGAGCAGCCGGCAGCCAGCGTGAACTGCCATGAGCATCCATCCAATGGCCGGCGACCAATCTGCCTCAGTCGGGAAGAGCACAATGATCACAATACCAACATGGGCCAGTGAAGTGATGTCCTCCACAACCAAACTGAAGAATAAAAGGACAGCAACTTGTCTGTTCCTCTTCCCCAATTCGCCAATGCTGTTCCCTCCCCCAAATCCCCAATAAAATCTTTAAAAAAGAAAAAGGCCAGCCAAGTGGCTCAGTTGGTTAAGAGTTAGCTTAAGAGTGTAAGCTCTGAGCAACAGGGCTTCAGGTTCAATTCCCACATGGGCCAGTGACGCTGCGCCCAAGCTAAGCTGCTGCTGAGCTGCCAACAGGTGGCAGGATGGTTCAGCTGGTGAGAGCACGTGCTCCTAACAACAAGACTGCCTGTTCGATGGTGGGCTACACCCTCCCACAACTATGACTGAACTTGGCACCTTGAGCTGAGCTGGCGCCGGATAGGGCGCGCGCTCTTAACAACAAGGCTGCTGGTTCGACTCCTGCATGGGATGGTGGTTATGCCCACCTGCAAACTAAGACTGAACACAGAACCTTGAGTTTGGAGGCCACGAGCTGCTGATGGGCAGTCAGATGGCGACTGGCGCCCTCCACAACTAAGATGGAAGGAAAACAACAACTTGGCTGGTCCCCTTCCCTAATTCTCCAACACTGTTCCCCTCCCCCAATTCCCCCCACCCAAAAAAAAAAGTCAGTGCCCAGTGTTTTGCATTAGGTTAGTTCTTTGTAGTCAAATTGAAAACATAGTGGTGATTCTTTAGATCAGTGGATTTACCCTTTTAAAGTATGAGGAACTCCTTTTTAAAGTAAAAAATTCCTCAGACCCAACCACAGAAGTGATTGAGAAAATCCCCCATCAAAATCTACTGTGAACTCAAGAAGACTTTTTATTTATTTATTTATTTATTTATTTATTTATTTAAGATTATTGGGGAATTGCGGGAGGGGAACAGCGCTGGGGTATCTGGGGAAGGGGAACAGACAAGTTGCTGTCTTTTTGTTCTTCAGTCTAGTTGTGGAGGACATTGCTTCACTGGCCCTTGTTGGTATTATCATTGCGCTCTTACCGGGTGAGGCAATCACTCGCCAGCTATTGGACGGCTGCTCATGGTGGCTCACGGGCAGCTCACACTGGCTGCCGGCTGCTCACACTGGCTGCTGACCACACACGGTAGCTATGACAGCCCACTGCAGCAGGGGCTGCAGCCTACACTGTCGCTGGCAACTGTTGGCAGCCCAGCTCCGGGTCGAGCTGTTGTTCACCATCTTAGCTGTAGAGGTCAGTGTCACTGGCCCTCACGTGGGATCCGAACCGGGGCCCTGATGCTCAGAGCTGGCATCCCAAGCCAGATCTTAACCAATGTGCCACTCGACCAGCCCTCAAGAAGCCTTTTTAAAATGTATTTGTATTTTATCATTCACAACATCCACAGAGTGTGTATTTGAAAAATAGTAGCATAATTCACATAGGTGGGAAATAAAAGACTTACTCGATCTAAGAAAATGTTTCAAGTACATACACGGAACTCAGAAAGCTGCTGTTGCCTTATTTTCCTATTGAGGTTTTCCCAAAAGAAGAAACTTTGGTGAGACATACAGAATTATTTCATGTTTCTCCATTTGAGACAGAGAAGAAAGCTTATAGCACAACTCCCACATAAGCCACCTGGAATCCTCCTTAGCCATTTCTCTTTGCCTTTTGGTTCACTGACTTGAGGCGGGGTGGGATGAGGGTGGGGGCTTTCTTCGGCCTTCTTCCACATCCAGCCTATTCTTGATGGCTTTTTTTCCTACTCCTCTCTCTCTCTCTCATGAACAAAATAATTTCATCTCTTGAATCATACACAGTTCTTCCCACCTCCATGGGCCAACTGTCAGCAGATCCTTAAGTTCTCAGCAATTCTCACAGCATTCTTCCAAAACGAAGAGGTAATTTATCATGATTGAACCCTGCATGACATTCAGAGAGTGCCAAACAAATGTACACATATTTTAAAAAAGGAAAAAACTGTATTAAAATTGTAATAATATACACCGATAACAAAAGATGAATACAAGTCACGTTTGACTTCTGCAATTACAAGAGGTGCTCAAAGTGGTTACCATCAGGGTAATTTTAATACAAGTTTTTCTTTTCTTAAAATGTGTATACATTTTTTTAGCACCCTCTGTATTTCCCCCTTTGGAGTAGCTCAATGTGCCCCTCTTAATGTGCAGCCTGCAGGTTGAAAACCCAGCCCTTAAGACTATGGCAGAACGGTAAGACCTAGATGTCTCTCCCTCTCCAGCTCTTCCTGATAACCTCACCACATCGCTATTCACAGTAAGTATTCAGCCATCAGCAGACCGATTTCTTTCTTCCCCAAACCTAGATAATATAGTTGCACAGGAGATCAGTGGTTGTCACCTAGCTGTAAGCTGGATTTGAATAGTCTTCTATTACCAAAGGGCTGAAGTCTTCTATTACGCGGTGGCCAGACTTCAGGCAGCTCCCTGAACAGCTCTGATGAAAGGCCATCTGCTCTCTTGGACTTGTGTGCCTGGGTCTCCAGAGTACTGAGTTTCTGTTCTCCCTATTCCATGTCCCCTCCTCGATCCTATTCTGGCACCCAGAGGACATCTGCTTCAGAATCACCTGGGGAGTGAATTGGTCTCTGCATTTTGATTAGCTCACACTAAAGTCTGAGAACTAGTGCTATAATGGAGTTCAGCTTGAAGGTAAATTTTTAAGAAAGTTGGGATCTGAATATGAATATGAGCAATTGCTTATTTATATTCCCAAGCTCCACAGATCAGAAAAACATTTCCTGAAAAATTACCTTGCAGAAGTCAAATCAGGTTGAAAGGATAAGTCTCTGGAACACCAATAAGGGCATATGGAAAAAATGAAATATCGCACATTACGTATTACTGTGTGAACAGTGCATAGCTACATGCTAATAAGAAAGCATAGCTAGTGAATCAATAGCTTTTTTTTCCTGGTCGGTGAAAACAAAGATTACAAAACAATTGGCTTGGTCTTTATAAGCAGAGGTGAAATATGCAAACATTCCCACAAGATAAATGTTTGACTCTCAGAAACATTCATCAGGGTTTTATTATTGCTAGGCTTCTTAGTAAAAACTTACACAATCAAGGACAAGGAAGACTATGACTTAATTATCCAGACCGGCTTTCTTAAGTTTGTAAATTCACAACACAATTGTGCAATCCTCCACTTTCTTTTGGCTTTGCTTCCCTAATCTCAGTCCTCAGTATTTCTCAAATATTCTGAAAGATGTCTGGGTACTGATGACAAATGTGAGATTATCCAGAACAGTTACTTCTGCTCCTTTCCACTACTACCCATCTTTCATGGAGCAAGGTAACACAGTGGGTAGACTGGGTTTAAATCCTAGATCTGCAGTCGTCTAGCATACAACCTCTGACAAGGTACTTCTCTGCTCCTCTGTTTCCTTAACTACGAGTATACATGGAATAAAGGCACATATTCCATAGGACTATAATGAGAATTAAATGAGTTAATATATGTAAAGTACTTTGAATAGTGTCCAGCACAAAATAAGCACTCAAAAGGTAATAATCATAGCAAGCCATCATCATTATTTTTAACCATCCCACTGCTGATTAGCACCACCATTAGAGAAAAAGATTTGGACAAAAAGAAATTCAAAAATATTCCCCGTAGGGCCAGCTGAGTGGCTCAGTTGGTTAAGAGTTAGCTTAAGAGTATGAGCTCTGAGCAACAGGGCTGCAGGTTCGATTCCCACATGGGCCAGTGATGCTGTGCCTAAGCTGAGCTGCCAATAGGTGGCAGGATGGCTCAGCTGGTGAGAGCACGTGCTCCTAACAACAAGACTGCCTGTTTGATGGTGGGCTATGCCTGCCTGCAACTAAGACTGAACTTGGCACCTTGAGCTGAGCTGCGACCCAGATGGCTCAGTGGATAGAGTATGAGCTGTTAACAAGACTGCCAGTTTGACTCCCACATGGGATGGTGGCTACGCCCACCTGCAACTAAGATTGAACACAGCACCTTGAGCTTAGAGACCACGAGCTGCCAATGGGCAGCCAGATGGCGACTGGCGCCCTCCGCAACTAAGATAGAAGAACAACAACTTAGCTGGTCCCCCTCCCCAATTCTCCAGCACTGCTCCCCTCCCCGAAGTCCCTAATTAATTAAAGAAAAAAAGCTATCCTAGTTTAAAATACATTATATATATATATATATATATATATATATATATATATATATATATATATATATTCCCCATAGCATTCAAAGGCCAGTGTGATGACAGAGAAAGTAAGACTAACTTTATACCAAGTATAATGGAAGAGATCTGGACAAATGCATTTCGGGGGAAATGGTTAGGAGAAAGAACTTGATAGCACAATGGTTTAAATATAAATAGCGAGACAGTAACTGTCTGTTATAACTATGTGTAGATACTAGACACTTAAGAGAGCAAA